AGAGAGAGAGAGAGAGAGAGAGAGAGAGAGAGAGAGAGAGAGAGAAGATGGAAAGTCTCAGAGGACATTAGGGTTCCATGTGCCTCCTCCAGTCATGACCACAGCCAGGCTTCCTTTTCAGGGCTCCACTGTTCTTAGGCTTTGACCTAAGAGTGTCTATGTATAAATGAGAAATATGAACCAACAAATATAATCCTTTTAGTTTTCAAACATCGTTACACTAGTATTCTAATTTTTGATCTTAAGTTCATTCTAATTTCAGTGTTTCTTACTCCATATACTGGTTGGCTATTTGCAGGGTTTCTTCTTTCATCAGTCCTGTAGTCTTACTTGAAATCACCTTGGCCCTCAAATCTGATAATGCTTCCCTTAGATACTTACATGATAAATCCCTTATCTTATGATGAGTAATGACCATCTTCTTACCATGCATCTGTAAGCTTACTAATTCTCATTTGAGTATATAAAGGTTTGTTTTGTTTTATACAATTATAACAATTGCTCTACTGATGAGATGTCCTGTGTGTTTATGTTTCTCATCAAGTAAACTGACAGTGGATCATGCAATTGCAATAGAAAATTGTTACCTAGAGTAACAATATAGGGGGAGTTCCAGGACAGCCAATGCTACACACCAAACCTTGTCAAAGCAAAATGAAACAAAATATTGCCCCATCCTGTTTCTGTAAGGTGGTTACTACAAAAGTAATGGCCAGAAGAAAACACAAAATAAAACAACAACATAAAACCCACATCTACTTTTGATAAACAAGTCTCACAAGGCATCTCCAAAGATAAATAGCTGTAATTCTAAGGACTGAATTAAATCAAGCAAAGTATGCCTTCAAATGCAGAGTTCAGAGTGCATTGTGCTCGCCTAGATCCCGTGGGGAAAGAAAGAGAAAAATGGCTGACCTGTGTACAGTGGCTAGCTGGACATAAGATCATTATTGCAATGGGACACAAGTCTTTTGGAGATCAGTTAATTCGAGGGTTATTTCCAGAGATATGAGCTAATGGAGAGGAGCCATTTGAGCGGGAGGTGGGTAGGTAAGAATGGAAATGCAATGTGTTATTCAGGGACTTATTATACCAGGAAATTAGAGATATACGGGGCAGAGACAAAGAGGAGTTGCAATGTTGCCGCAGTCCAGAGAAGCTAGAATCTGGGTACAGGGGAATTCACAGGGCAGGAAACATGCTTATGGAAAGAACTTAGAAAACTGACTGACAGCATAGAGAGCCCACAGACAACAACCTCTCTTCCCCAAACCCTGCACCCTGCTCCCATGCCACTTCCAAGAGTCTCCTCTTGCTTGAAACTCTCCATCAATTCAGCAGGTGGAGGACAAGTATGAGGCCCTGGGTGGAGCAGGGAGAGAGAGGGAGGAATGGAGAAGGGAGCTGGAATTCTAAGAAGATGAAGCATCTGTAGAGAGATTTGCAGCGCTTACGTTTCACTCCTTTAAGCATGGACAAATGTATGCTTTTAGCCTCCCAGTTTAAAAGCCACAGACATGTGCAGCCAGAACTGCCAGCCTGAAAAAGACAGTGGAAGGATCCTTTTAGGTCTGGCGTGGGAGTGTAGACAAAAGGCCAGAACTTCACAGCTTACCAGAATAGTGGTGACAATGAGTGTTCGGTTGGCCAGCGAATCCGTGATATTGTTGGACCTGTCTCTGTTGCCATCCGTCATGTTCAGCCCACTGTTGGAGTTCCAAATCCCAATCTGCACAAAACACAGGGTATCAGCGCCTGCCGGTTGCCCACAACAGCACTTATTTTCAAACAGAGGGCTCACTAGACCAGGAATGAGAACCAAAGCTTATACCCTGGTGTATCAGGGCCTCACCGTGCAGTGGAGACTATTTGATTTCAGGGAGTGGCACAATAGAAGGATGAGGGTACAGACAGAATTAGAGAAATTTGGGCTATTTAAGGCAGGTACAGGAGGCATGTTTATTTTATTTTCAATTAACTAATTACTTTCTGGTTATTTGTGACAAGGTTTCTCTTTGAGACAAAGGTTTCCCTTTGTAGACCAGGCTGGCCTTCAATTCAGAGATCTGCTGCCTCTGCCTCCCAAGTATTGGGATTAAAGCTCTGTGTTACCTCAATGGCTTGGAATTTTTACTTTTGATTATTAAGCTCATTGCTGATTTTTAAATTAAAAAAATTAGGACTGTCAGATTTTTCCTCTGTACTGATTGTTGATCACCTGCTTCAGTGTCAAGCACAGCTGTAGGTACTGGAAGACATGGAACATGGTGACAGACAAACACTCTTGTTACATTCACTGTCATGGAACTTCATGCCACCACACGATTAACACCCATTCCTTTAAAATATGTGCTTACTGGGATGAAACAAGCAAGGTGGGTGGTGGAGGGACTTGGAATTGGAAAAGGAAAGACAAATGGGAGAAACTACGTAGATGAAAGGTTGACAAAACTCAGGACCCATCCTCTTGAGGAGGCAAACTGAGAGAGGGGTCCCTCTTATGCAAGCCACTAGGACCAGTGTACACTCTGTCTGGGCTCCTCATGCCTTTCACTGCTATTTCTTGTCTACCTGTCTTTTGTATCTGGTTGACCAAGAACTTTTCCAGTAAGGAAATTTTATTTTTCATCAACTATTTTTTTGTATCAGAGAGCCAGTGGTGATTATTGGCATCCAATAGGCTCCATGACCCTTATAAATGGTGTCCTCTAATTTCTCTAGTGTCATGGTAACTGCTAATATGTTAGGCCCTATAAGATACCTGTTGATCATTCCTGATGCCCAAATTCAAAGTTGTCCAGTATCACCTGACCTCAGGAAATGTGTCAGAGTCAAAACAGAGGCGCTGAGCAACTGAACACCCAAGAAGACGGGTAGGAAAAATTGAGGGAGCCAGTGGGGTGGAGGATACCCAGAGAACATGGCCCACAGAATCAACTAAGCAGGGCTTATGGGGGCTTGCAGAGAATGAAGGCGAAATCACCTTGCTTGCATGGGTCTGTGCTAAGTCCTCTGTGTATATGGTATGGTTGTTAGCTTGGTGTTTTGTGGTACTCCCTAACAGTGGGAGTGGGGGCATCTCTGGCTCTTTTGTCTGCTCTTGGGACTCTTTTCCTCCTACTGGGTTGCCTTTGTCCAGCACTGATGTGAGAATCTGTACCTAGTCTGATTGTAACCTGTTGTGCCATATTCTGTAGATGTCGTTGCATGGGGGGTCTGCTTCGGTCTGTGGGGAGATGAATGGCAGGTGGATATGGGGTACAGGAGAAGAAACTGGGAGTGCTGGAGGGAGAGAAGCTTTGGTCAGGATGTATTGTATGAGAGAAGAGCCAATAAAAATAATAACAAAAGAGATTATTTTCCAGCTATCTGTGTAAAGTGTGCATGAAATTTTGCACATATAGGACGTGAAAACAGAGATGATTTAGGGAGAGGTAAGGAACAAGTGGGGACAGAAGACAATGGGAGGTAAGGATGAAGTACACTTGTATACATGTATGAAAATATTATAATGAAGCCACTGCTCTGTATGCTAACTCAAAGAATTAGTGCAAGATGAAATCTAAATGTCCAGTTCCTTAAACAGTATATGAAGTATCAGCAAATTTCTAGTTTGGGCTTGAGTCCCATCCAGAGAGATCTTCCTTGCCCATAAAAAATCTCAAAATTAAACATAAAATCTTGACTTCTCTTCTCAAGCTATTCTGGTAAGGGTTACTCCACCCCTACACTGATTTATTTAGCATCTGAGAGGACCCAGGAAAGAGCTATGAAAATTTAGCTATTTGGCCCAGCACTGTGCATATTTACTGTCAGCATTAGGATTAGGAATGTGGTTTGAAAGTCAGGTGGGAATATGAAAGGCAGTGGCTGTATGACCTTAAATAGGATGCTAAACATTCTGGGTTCCTACTCTCTATGGCATAGGCTTGGTGAGAGATCAGATGGAAATACCTGCCTATGTTAAGAGATGCACAAATAATAATGCAAGTCATGTAAATGGCTTTTGCAGCAATCTCTTTAGGCTTACCTTGTGAAATAATTTACAATTGTTAGTGTTTGTTTTCCTTTTAATTTAGAAAACGTGAAAGGAAATGAGCTATGAAAATCAGGAGGCATCTATGACTCTAGCATTTGAATGTTCACATGGTTGGAGGAAATCCGTGCTTGATACCTAAATATCTTCCTTCTGTATGGGAATAGGTTTCCTTCTACAGGAAGGCACCCAGCTCGGTAGACAGAGCGTGTGTGGGTTGTGCAGGGAGACTTTTGTTTTGGCCTTGACTTTAAGTTTACCAGTTATGTGACCTTGGGCGGCAGACTAGGCCTTCTGTGCCTCAATTTTGTCACCAGCAAAATGGAGAGGAAAATGCTTTTAAAATTCTTCTTAAAGATTTATTTTTATTTATGTGTATGTGTGCCTCTATGAACGTATGCTGTGTGTGTGTGTGTGTGTGTGTGTGTGTGTGTGTGTGTGTGTGCGCGCGCACAGGAGTACCTTTAGAGGCAGAAGAGGGATTCAGAGTCCCTCAAGCTAGAGTTACAGGCAGTTGTGAGCATTTTGATGAGGATGCTGGGAACAGAATCCTGTCCTCTGGAAGAGCAGTAAGTGCTCCGAATCATTGAGACATCTCTCTAGTCCAAAAGTGTGTGCTTGCTTGCTTCCTCCCTCGCCCCCTCTCTCTCTCTTTTAATTCACAATTAAACAAATTACCTATGTGAGCATGCTAGGTTTCGTCTACCTTGGCTGTCTTTGCTTTGGCAGGCATCCTTTAAGAGATATAAATTCTTTGAGAAAATTCTAAGCACGGTAACCCATTCACACTTAAGTGTAAACCATTTCAGTCTCTCTGCTCCATGCTAACCAGGGTTAATTTGTTGGAGAAATGAAGAGACAAATGGAAGAACACTGGGTGTAGCCACCACCTAGAGTGGCTATGGAAAATGCAACTGAGATGGGAGCCTGTCTCCTCTGGAGCTGTTCAGCACTTTCAGGGCTTCCTGGCTTGTGGTATACAACCTATCTGTTAATGGGGGAGTGTCTGTTTCCTTTTGTGAGCCGTTATCTTGGGAGGCTGAACATATGCTTTTCAACCTTCCCTCCTCTAAGGCAGAACCTTGGCTTTTAGGAAACACAAGGTAAACAAGTTGTCCATTCGTTTATCCAAAGCTATACTTTGGGTTGTATTGCCTTAGAAAACTATGTGTAAGGTAGGCCCTGGGTACAATTTCAATTAAAGATTGACCTAGGCATTGAGAGGAATAGAATTCCGTTTCTAATTAAGTATTAGAGAACATGCTTGTGACTTTAGCCACTTTTAAAGTCAGAATGCATTTTAACTCTTATTCTCGTTAAGAGGATTAAATGTGTGTTTAAGTGATATCTTTTTCATCTTTAAAAATGGCATTATTGAATTCTGCCGGAATATTCTTTTCTAAAACAAAGCTTAACACTTCAGACAAATATCTACTCCCATTTGGCCTCTGGCTCTTCTGCCTTTTCCCAGCGGAGGTAGAGTGGTAAGTGAAGGGCTAAGAGACCATGACTACTGTCCTGCCATTAACTACCTCTCAAAGTCCCGAGAGCACCTATCTTCCTCCGTAAAATGAGGAAGAGGAGATGACTTTCCTGCTAGTTGCACTGCGGAAGCATCATTGAATAAAAACAAACCCAGCATGAGAATCAAGGAAAGGACAGGCTGTTGTACTGGCTTTGCTTCCTAATTGAAATAAATGGACTGGTTGCCAGCAAGCCAGTGTCTCTGATGAGGTGGGAGTCTGTGATGCGATGATGCATGCGTTCTGGGCAGCGCTTTACAGTTAACCAGATGCCCAGATGCCGGCCTTGCGGCTGTGCTGTGACCAGGGAGGAGTGCCTTTGTGAGGCAGGGCTTCTGTTTTCAGACTGTGAAGCGAAAGCCGACAGCAATAATTCACTGTTGAGAAGCCATGGATGTGGAGCTCTTACATGTGGGGAAGCACCCTGGCCTGACTGCTCTCACTGTCGAAAGTGTATGAGGAAGCAGCCACTTAGTCTCCGAGAAGTATGTGTGTGAATGAATGTCCAGGGAATATAGAGCCAACTTTTAAAAAGTGATGAAACGGGGTAATTAAGAGAGAGTCAGATAGGGTAAGGCCTCCCATGGGAATCAACAAAGCCTGGCATATCAAGCTGAGGCAAGACCAAGCTCCCCCCTCCTGCATCAAGGCTGGACAAGGAAGGCATCCTACCACAGGGAATCGGTTCCAAGGAGCCAGGTCATGCATCAGGGACAGGTCAGAGGGGTGGGGGGGGGGGGGGGGGAGAAGCGGGGGGAGGGGGGCATGGAAGCAGATGGAACAAGGAAGGTTCCAGAGATGGTGTATCTGTTGCTATAGTTACACATTTAGGGTAGCATGTTGTGAATCAGAAGGCAAGATCCCATTAGGATCTATTTTCCAAACCCAGAGTTACAGGAATGAAGAAACTAAAATAGCTGAATGAAATAACCAGACACGTATGGGCAACAAAATTAGAGGTGTTTCTGTTTTTGTACCTTGAGGCTCCTTAGCATGTGTGTGTGTGTGTGTGGGTGGGGTGGGGAGCTTGTCTTGCAAAGATTACTAGCTCCCTCGCTTGCAAAGAATTTCAGGTGAGCTAGCAGGTGTTTTCAATGAGGTCCTGGTGCTGAGCTATGACTGTGCTGGAGTGAACTTTTTTGTTTTGTTTTGCTTTGTTTTTGAGACAGGTTTCTCTGTTTAGCTTTGGAGCCTATCCTGGCACTGGCTCTGGAGACCAGGCTGGCCTCGAACTCACAGAGATCCTCCTGCCTCTGCCTCCCGAGGGCTGGGATTAAAGGCGTGCGCCACCAACGCCTGGCTGCTGGAGTGAACTCTTAAAGACAGAATCTGCTTAGAGAAACGCAACCTGTTTGCTGGATTTGACTGAGTCCCGGGGCTGGAGGGCCACTGCTGAGAACAGAAGATGAACCATGACCTACTCAGCTGATATTGTGAGCCGTGGAGCCTTAGTAGAAAGGACGGGGGAGCAAGTCACGGACTAGCAAAGCCAAGTTGTTACACCCTGAGGATGTGGATGTCACAGTGAAACGATGCTGCTAGGACCATCCCTCACCCTTGAGTTTCATTTCCGAGACTAGACTCTACCCCTAGAGTATTTATTTTCAATTAATTCAGCATTGCATAACGTTCCAGGAGTCTCAAGCAATAAGCTGCTTTCAGAGTGGTAGACAGAACTATCTATTTCCTAGCAGCGAGGAAGGCTGTTCACCTCCTGTGGGCCTTTTGCAATTTGGTTCACTGATAAAACAGTTTATTAAGCCCACGGCTTTTAATATTTAAAAGGACATTTCTGAGATCATCTACTGAGTCCTACCAAGGAGATGATGAGGTTTCTGGGCTACTTGTAGAAAGGGTTTATGTGAGTCTGTGACTCAGCCAAAAGTGAGCCTGACAAACGGGTTGCTCAAGCTGAACAACCTGAAGTAATTTAAAGTCCATCTGTCCATCAATCAAGAGAAATTGTAGCAACTGGTTTCAAATAGAGTGAGGGAGGGAAAAAAAGAGAGAGAGGTGGGAGCAAAGAGAAAGAGACAATGCATCGTTTGCCTGTCACTGGGACATTTTCTCTGTGAGAACCTTTCTGGGTCTAACGTCTGCTTATGTAAATCTATGCATAGTCACTGGCAACATGATCCTGTATGATAAACTATGAAATAGTGGGTGCTAAAATTCACAAGATAATCTCATTTCCCTTCAAAAGTTTTCTGATGATTTGTCCTCTGGAAACTAGTTCTAAAATAAATTTCAAGGCAGTGTATTCTGACAAAACAAAGACAGCTCAGAAGAAAGGGGAGTTTCTGAAAATGGCCCATATTTCCCCGTGGTGGCATTGAAGGCAGTGCCTTTGCCTATCTGACTAGTCTGATGGATCAAATCCATTGTTTTCATTCCCCGTAGGGGACATGTTCCATGGTTTGAGAAGGACTATAAATGGGCCTCTGTCTGTGCGCATTGCTGTTACCTGCTTGCAGTCTTCACAGACACTGATCCTGTCCAGTGGGAAAACTAATCTAGAGGGGTGTTCACCCACCCATCTCATTAACCCACCAAACGTCTACTTGCATTTTCTGATAATGCTGAGGCCAAACACACTCTGATCCCCACATCTGAGGAGTCTCAGCCCTGATCTGCAGCTGGCAAGCTTCTGGTTTCGTAAGACTGTCAGGGTGCAGCCACCCCATCCCCAAGTCCCTGCTGTTGTTATCAGGGTACAAACCTTCTGCCACACTTTATACAAGGGCTTAGACACTTCACCAGCAGCCTTGGTTTTCAGAGGGAAAAATAAAATAAAAACACACTTAATTAAAATGCAGCATGGAACCCATGAAATATTTAGAGTGTATTACACTCCTCACCTGTGGTTTGGAACTTTGCATTTTAATTCATATAAAGACCAACAATGGGTACAGCAAGGAAATGAAAATGCAGACTGGGTACCACAGAAGTTACTTGCTCCTTTCACATAATAGAAAGTAATTAAAACACATTTGCATGTTTACAGGTATGCTGCAGGGCTAAAGGGTATTCATCATGTTTAAAGAGAGTTGTTGAAGGAATTCAGCATAAAAATCAGTCAGTTATTCAGTACACACACACACACACACACACACACACACACACTAAGCTGCACAGAGAAATATGTTGAATGATGCATCCTTTCATTATGAGTTTGCAGATAGTAGAGAGTTGGGTACAAGTGATGGATGGACTTTTGAGAATGGTTCGCCTGTGAGCCCAGAGAAGTTGACATGGAAAGCATGGGCATGTCTTTCCTTGGCTCTCCAGGGGCATGTGTTAGCTTCCCCCATTGCCTTCAAGGCTCAACCAGCAATCTCAGGAACTGAGCCAAAGTCACCTGAAGAAAAAAGTTATTGCAAACATTGAATAGGTAAGAAACAAATAGAAAGTGCTTTCGTCAAATTTGATTTTTGCTTTTAATAGAAAAACACGAGTAGAATTTTGCATAATATCACCATGTATATAAATATCTCTGGAGACATTACGCTAGTTCCATCTTGTTCATCACCTATCTGAGTCAAAAAAAGGTATTTCTTCAAGAACAATAATTCTCCCAAAAAGGCAAAAAGGCAGAAAGGAGTGGACCTAGAGAAATATATATCCTTTCAAATAACCACAAATTTTTAGGTTATAATGAATATTCTTTTCTGTTCCTTCTGGTCCAAATAAGCAATTATGGAGGGCAGGCAGATGTTTTGTTCTCTGTTAAACCAGCAGAGGAACACAGCAGGGTAAAGAGGATCAAAGTAGGGAGAGGGAAATGGTGAAGACCAAACTAGGGAGAGGCCAGTAAGCAGCGCGTGAGAAACCCACACGCGTGTACTCTCAAAGCTGTGAGCTAATTGTTTTTCCCAAACATATCAACACCAGTGATAGCCTTCTACAACATCCAGACTAATTAATCTTTGTTTCAGTTACTGATGCTTGGGGCTGGGGTGTGAGGGGAAAAAGCAGTTGGAATCTGCCAAGGGAGGAACTTGTGTTCCAGTAAATGAAAACAATGACACAGACATGAAAACTACCTTGCTTTAAAAATAAACTCAACTATTTTAAATTAAACAAGCAATAAGCTGTTTTAGAGTGCTCTTTTATACTGAGTACCATGCTTTGTGTGTTAGTCACTGCCATGTGAACATACATTGGTTTATGGAGTTCTGATGTCCAGGTGACTACTTTGGGCTTTCAAAATGTTTTGTTTTTTTCGGGCTCTGAAGGCAAATCCTCAAACTATAAATACTGATTGTAACTCATGCACATAGAATATACTAAATTGAAATAAAACATATATTGAGCAGCCAAATACTTTTATCATTATTACTTAACAGTTTACACTCATGTTAGCTTAAATAATAACTAACATGGAACTTCTAACTTGGAAATTGAGACTTCCAACTAAAATAACCCTGAAATGAGAATCCAGCATTAAAATTAAAATTGTTAGCATTTGTCCTAAATTAAGGATGCAATGTTAATTTGCTCCACTAAGCCTTTTCTATACTATTTTATCCCATCCCTCTGTCACCAATCTCAAAATAGAGTTCAGTTAAAATTAATTTCTGAGTAACCCTTGGAGGCTTTACCATATTACAAAGCAGCTGTGATTTCCAGAGTTCCAAGTCTAACCTCAAATTTGTAAAATCTCTGAGACACAGGACTAAGGGTGCCAGTGCATAAGGTTATGTAGGCAACAATACATGTTTGTTTTATAGACCAAGCACTGATGAACATTAGTTAAAACTATTAGTTTTGTTTATAATTTAAGAATCTGTCCCTTCCATGCTTGCCTTCCAATGTGAGAGAATGATCTAGAATGCTCAGGAATATGCTAAGGAAGTCATTTGTATCATTCTCCCACTTGTCTGTGCCATTTAACTAAAATGCACGAACAGTGAGTGCCCCTTAGTGAGTCCATTGGTGAATTTATTCATCATCAAGGAAGTTACCTTCTCAGTTCCTTCCTCCTTGAGACTGATAATGTCCAGGTCAAAATCCTTTCTCAAGCCATCGGTCTTATTGAAGGTGATACGCCCAGTCAAGCCATCCCACCGAGCCTGAGGACAGTTAGAGTATAGTGTTATTACTTAATAGTTACCATAATCGCAAGACCATCAACAGTGCAATGCCTCACACTCATCCCAGTCTCCAGTCCTTCAGCTGTATCATGAATTCTAACCGTTGCTTTGGTTCATTGACTTGAAAGTGGAACACTTCTCTTTTTTATTAGTTCTCATTTATTGTACCAGCCCTAACATTTAAACATAGTCAGTCCTGTAATAGTGGCAATCTAAATGGGCAGGAAGCAAAGAGTCACTCTAAAATCATCTGTTTGTCAGATGAAAGAGTCCAAGAGGTCATAAGCATTCTCTTTTCCAAGGTCAGTTTAAACACCCTTCAAGCTACTGCCGAAGGGAAATGGCTTCTGCCTCATTCTTCCCCTGCTAAAAAGGTGGACAAATGTTGCATCATTGACATTTTGAGTTTGTAGGGTAGTAATAGTTTACATCTCTTAATATTTTGGAATTTTGGGTTCTTATGGCTGTGATAGCCCATAGAAACAACCGTTGACATAGACAAGGAGACTAACTTCTGTGTGTAACTGGACACTTCTTAGCATCACCTTCTCCCACCCCACAACATGTCAACTTTCATTTTTGTGCTGTAGTCACCACTTTCTTATTTTTTAGCCAAAGGCTGGCTTTGTGGAAATAAAAGCTACAAAATTAGCTACAGTATTGAGGTTACTGCAAATGCTTGGCATCTGAGGGCAATTTATCAAAAGCTTTGGTTCAGTTGAAATCTGTACTGTGTTAAGGGTTGGGATTAACTTCCTTGTAGACAGTGAGCAGTCCCAACCCACCTCCTGATCTGTTTGGAAGGAAGTAGTGATTTTCTTTAAGTTCTACAAAATTTGGGGAAAGCTTTCTCCTGAAGGTGGCCTTTTCTTTCATAGAGGTCATGTTGTGAATCAAATTAGCCCATTGTGAAGAATTTATGGGGCTCCGTGAAAATGTAAAGAACCGGTAGAATTTACCTCTTGATGTAGCCTATAGCTTGTGGCATGGTCTTAAACCCAGTTTGGAAATCCAATTTCATTTCTATAGAGTGTGCCTATTGTGTGGCTTTGTTTGGATTCTGTTGCATTAGCTTTATTCTTGAACTGAGTGTTCGTTCCAATCATTGCCGCAGAGTAATTTCCACTTCTTGCTTTCCTCCCTGCACATCCAAGCGGCATAAAAGTTCCCCTTTCATGTTCTGACAATGCCTCCTTCCCTGACTCAAATATCTACAAAGACTCCCTGCCTGGGTTTTTACCGAGCTGTGTCTTTTGACCTTCAAAGTCAGCGTTGCCAACATTACACATGCCTACTTGCCTTCCGTCCCTAGATAAATTATATTTGTGTGTATCCTTTGGACTTTGGGGATAATGGCTGCTAAGAATTTATTAATCACCAATTAAACTATTGATCAAGGTGAACATACAATTTTTGTATGCCATAAATAAGTCCCATAAGAAACCCACTTCCTGGAGCAGGGCTGCACCATGTACAATTTAGATAATGATAGATAATTATATTCTTCATAATCATAGTTTGCTTGCCTTATGTAGATGCATTGCTGAGGGCACAATTATAGTATACTTAACTGAAAACAATACTTATATAATTGTCCCTATTTTAGGAGGGAGCTTTAATATCTACCTTGTTAAATCTTTTGACAATTACCACTTAATACAACTAAGTCAAATAATGTGATTGCTTTATTTTCCTTTGGGCATACCATCTAATGGACAAAAATAAGAATCAAAAACTGAAGCCAGGTGGTGGCAGTGCATGCCTTTAATCCATCACTTAGGAGACAGAGGCAGGCAGATCTCTGTGAGCCTTCAGAGTGAATTCCAGGATAGGCTCCAAAGTTATAGAGTAACCTTGTCTCAAAAAACAAAACAAAACAAAAAACTGAGAGAAGAACAAAGAAGTTTCATTAACCCTTATGCCTTATTGTATGCATTTTTCAAGAAATTATTAGTTGTTATAGTTAAATATGTATATAGTATGTGTATGTATACATGTGTGGGGTATGTAAATGTCTAAAACCCAATTCTAGGCTCTTAGAGTAGACAACTATAAATACCAATGAATTCAAATGACTCTTTTTGGGTTTTTTTTGAGACAGAGTTTCTCTGTGGCTTTGGAGGCTGTCTTGGAACTAGCTCTTGTTGACCAGGCTGGTCTCGAACTCACAGAGATCCACCTGCCTCTGCCTCCCGAGTGCTGGGATTAAAGCCGTGCGCCACCAACGCCCGGCTTCACATGACTTCTTTACTTATTTCTTCTAAAGGTAATTTAAATATGTAAAGGCCTCCAAGTCATTCCGTAAAATTTTCTCATCACAGCCATTCTCATTTGCTATGGCGAATATTTCACTCATAGAAAGACAGTTATTTGAGAGTAGAGTGTCCTCTTGTAGGGAGCATACAAGAAAATAGTTTCACACATGTTTTACTTGGAATGTTACAAACTATTATTTTTCTGAGGGCTGGGTATAGAAGGTCCACAGAGATTTCCTCCTTAAATTAAATTAATTAAATTCCTCCTTTAATTAAAGGAATGAAATACACCCCTTGTCTCCACCCCCTCATTGTTGGTATCAGCAGGCCTGGCAAGATGTCATTTCTACATGACTGTTATATGTGTTACTAAAACTTAACTGGAATTTGAAAACTATGCCAAGACATTGGTATGATTTGAATTGATGCTGAGGAGAAATAATACTGTTTTTTAAGTTTACTATTATATAGGGTCCATATTCACATTTTAATTTGAGGTATTCTATGTAATAAATCAGGTGGTTATAAAAGTTGTCGTTTCACTGCTTCATAGGATATTAGTAACCTTTGTCTTTCCTGGCAGCTTCTGAAATAACTCTCTACCATCCTGCTGGCTCACACGCAACTGGTTTAAAATTGTACACTGTGTTGGAGACTGTCCTACAAAAGCACTCAACTACCCGCACCCACTAGAGGGAGCTGTGTAAGTCTCTTACACTTAGAAACATCTTTATATATTTTTATATTTTCCCCAGTCCTAGGGCAAAGCCTAAGCTGTAATAGCATTTTAATAGTTCCTAACCTCTGTCCATATTGCTTTTCTCTTCTTCCCTTTCTCTTCTACTTATGTGTTCTAATTCTGAGCTTTGGTCAAATCTGTCAGTTCAAAACTCATGGCTTAAATAATGTCTCCTCTGAGATTGAGTTCGGAGGCTAATCTCAGCTCACTTGCCGCCCCCCCCCCCATTGCTGGTTCAGAGATCATTTAGTATCTCAGGAGCCTCTGATTTCACACATAGTACTGGGTATTTGCCTGCTGGGATAGCCTCAAGAACATAAACAGGAGGTGTGTGTGTGTGTGTGTGTGTGTGTGTGTGTGTGAATTTTTTAAAGCAGTTTTTCTCCATCAGTAGCAAGGACAATCAGGAGTCTGGCACTTTGTTACCAGGTGATGAGCTATCATGTAAATAAAATGCTACAACATTAAGAGATGCCTGCAGACGCAATAGTGGCATGAATGTTATGAACGTAACTAGCAGCTTCCTGGTTAGATGTGATGCCTTCTCCACAGGGGGAAATGCATGCTTAGTATTGTAAATCTGGCCAGGAATGTACGTCTGGGGAGTGCAGAGGCTCCAAACGTAAATCTACCATTATTCTGCAAGATGGACACAGTATCAAACTTTCTTCTAAGTTCAGATCTCAATACCCATATTTAGTACAGCTCTCAGAACTCATCAGAGAATTCTTCGTGCAGTGGATGGCAGCAAACACAGCAACTCACAAATGGTCAAAGTACAGAGAGAAAGTGATGGCGGATTACTTGGCCATAATGGTAACACTAGTACCAAATCCTCTCCCCAAAAAACTCAGGAAACATTTTGGAAGAGGAAGCAGAAAGACTTTAAGAGCTGGAGTTTACCCAGGGCTATTTTGTTGTGAAATAATGTTTCCTGCACATGACAGGACTGATACGTTTATATTTGTAATTTCACAGCAGCTATGGTTGCATGCAAAGACCTACCCAAAGCAAATCCAGTCAATATTCTGGCATAGAAGGGAGCAGGACTGGTGAAGCCCTACTCTTAGCTGAGGAGTTGTTGACAGGTGATGGCTAGTCCTGGGAGGAGGAGCAAGAGTCAATTTTCATTAAGGGTATCAGTATGGTTGCTCACCCATGCTAAAATGGATGGCCCCACACTCATGGGACATGGCAAGAACCAACTGGACTCAGTGGGTTAATTTCTTTTAAAAAGTGACCAAGTTTGGATGGGATGGGGCTGGATTTAGGAGGAAGGAGGGGGAGAATACACAGATAACTATGATCAAAATATATGTGTGTATGGCATTCTCAAGAGCATTAATAAGAATCTCTTTAAAAGTATCATGGAAACTGTTACGTCAGAAGCATTTTTGTGCAAAGATATAAGTTCAGATAATCAATGTGCATTTTGATCACATGGAGCTGTTTCTTAAAAATTAGCTAATGAAATATTATGTGTATTTCCTTTAATTCTTTTGGTATGAGTTATATAGTTCAAACATGCTAATTTTCATTTTTTCTGATGGACATAATAGTTTGTCATAAATTTCTTTTTTTTTCTTTTTTCTTATGGTATTTCGAGACTGGGTTTCTCTGTGTAGCTTTGGAGCCTATCCTGGCACTCGCTCTGGAGACCAGGCTGGCCTCGAACTCAGAGAGATCCGCCTGCCTCTTCTCCCAAGTGCTGGGATTAAAGGCGTGCGCCACCAACGCCCGGCTAATTGTCATAAATTTCTTATACTGGTCTACTGATTAGATTGACTAGCATTGCCACACAATATTAAAAATGAAAGCATAAAGTTCTGCAGGCAATCTATTGAGTTAGAATTAGGACAGAATTTTATATCAATACTAATTCTGTTCTGGGACAGATCCTTTAAAACTTAATTTTCAAGCTTCTGATTGATCATCAGATCTTGAGATATTAAATGAAGCTTACTTATGAATAATTGTTGGATATC